TGACCCACAGTTTCCTGGTTCTTTTCCTAGCTTTCTGCTTCTTCCCATCACCCTTTGCCATCAATGAAGCCCAGCTGCCTCAGTCTCAGGGGTATGGCTACAACCTCTGAGGTTTCAAAGGGTGAAGCCATGGCCTCTGGTGTTTCTAAAGATGGAGTTGTCATGCAGATGGACTATAAGAATGGTGTGCCTAAAGCCAAGGGAGCAGAACTGCCTCATTGTCAACCACTGACAGGGCTGCTAGATGTCCCTGGGTGGCACAAATGGTAAAGCACTCAACTACGACCTGAAAGGTTGGAGGTTCAAACCCACCTGCCGATCTGCTTCCAAAAGGTCACAGCGCTGAAAACCTTAAGGAGCAGTTCTACTCTGCACACATGGGTCACCATGAGTTGGAACTGATTCAAGGACAACTGACAACAAAGAGCTGCTAGCACCTGCGTGTCCCACTAACACCTCAAACTTAGCATTACTAGATGAATCTCCCATGGGACTTGATTTTTGTCATGATACTGATCACATTCGCCTTCTGTTTCATTATTAATATTAATACACGACTGTATCTTCTCTCCTAAGTTCTGAACAATCTGAAAGCAGGAACCCTGTTATAGAATCTTTACAGTCCCCAGCACCTCACAAAGCTGAGCCTCCGGCACAGAGGAGTGTAGCTATAAATATAAGCTAAACAAACTCTTCACCTCAGCTGAGCAGTGCTATCTGGAAGGAAAAAAAAAAAAAAAAAGCTTTTCTTTTAAAGGAATGTTTGAAAATAAAATAATTATCTATCACTGTTTTCTGTAAAATGCATTACTACTTGAACTAGAGTTAAAATTCTCATCTTCTGAAGATCTGGCCAATGTCAATGGAGAAATATTATTTACCCAGATTTTTCAGGTAGGTCCAATCCTAGACATGAACTAATATCTCAGAAACCACACTGTTTACGGAAATTTACATTGTTGGCCACTGAATTTCAAATGGCAGAAATTTCGAGGAATTCATAAAAAGAACATTTTTCAGTAAGAAGCCAAAAACAAAGAATTGAGGTTATTTTTTGGCAGCATGTAATAAAAAGCAAGGATAAAACACTGTGAAAAAATTTTTTTCCTTTTCAAAAGGACAGATGGGAAATGAGATCAGGGACTTCCAGGCCCTTTATAAGTAGCGGGGCTTGGCTTCCTTTTCAGGTCAGCAGTTTGTAGATCATTATCATCTCATGTAAGTAGAAGAGGAAAAATAAAATGCAGGATGTTATTTAAAGGGAAATGGATTAACCACATTTTTCCATACAATGCTGAGAACACTCTTAAGATTCTCCTGTATCTGAACATTTCCAAAAGTGAAATTTTTTTTTAGGATTTGCTAATTATAAATAATCTTCGCTATGCATGCCTCCCTTCTCTTTTAAATTCTCTTGCCAAGAGATTTGATATTGATAACACACCATAAAGTGTCAGCAGAGACAGTACCTGAGAAATCACTGCTCACCCCGATTTCGCACACCCCTCTAGTGATGACAATAGAGTTTCACACATGCATAGCGCAGAATTCCTATAACGACATGCTCTTTTTATTCCTTCCATACAAATGCTATCCTTTGTTCATTTACATCAGACACCAAAGTCTCATCTTCACAAAATATTCATGGCATCCATAAATTGCCTACCAACATCGTTTTTCACTACTTACTAACCAGTTGCCATTGAGACAACTCCAGCTCACGGTGACCCCATGTGTGTGAGGGTAAACTGTGCTCCACAGGGTTTTCAATGGCTAGTTTACTGGAAGTAGACTGCCAGGTCTTTCTTCTGAAGCACCTCTGGGTGGACTCAAAGCTTTATCCTTTCAGTTGGCAGCCAAGTGTGTTAACTGTGTGCATCAATCAGGGACTGTTATTACTTACTACCTTTTTCATATTCTATCACTTTATGTAATTGTACACTAGTAAACTCTGTTAACAAGCCAGAATACAAAGAGCTTAAAAGCCTGATGCAGATTCAGTGGATGGACTCAACAGTCAAGAAAGTCACCACCAACATCATCTGGTAAAGGACTTCCACTTGAAGGAGCATCATGATTTGGGATCAATGGTCAGACGCCACCCAGAATTCCATGACTGACAGGAAAGGTGGAAGTCCCGGGCATTACACTCAGTTGTAGAGAGATTTGTCATTTCTTAAGTGACAAGTCAACTTACATTTCTTGATCTAAAGAATTTTAATCATAAAGGTCATCACCCTGTCTCACTGCCTGTTAAAGCTTACCTACAATTTTCCTCAGGGAAAGTAAAATGTCAGACTTATGCCAAGTGAGCAAGGTAAGGTCACATAACTTTAAGAACAATAAAGGTTCAATAACCACCAGAGAAAGTATACTACGTGTGTAAGACTCTGTTTCACCTGAAACTTTCTATTTCAGAAATTATCTAATTTCCACCAATTAGTTTAACAAGCACAGTGTAAATGCCTTAGCTGGTAGGAGACGGCAGTATGCGAGAAAACAAATAATAGCACCCAAACTTAACTGAGTCCCTCACATTTACTGCGATGGGGATACAACATCCCGAGAACAGAAAGCAACACTTGCTCATTCATCCTCGGCCAGCAAAGCGTCAGTGAGTTCTTTGCCTCTCCTAGAACATGTGTGCCCAGTATTGCAGGCGAGGTAGTCACAGGCAAAAGGGACAAGGGCTTGTCTCAATGCTTCAATCACCTGATTCCACAATTGCTTAAACACCCAGGCTCCTTGCTCCTGGGATAAAAGATGATGCTAAATTAACTGTATCCTGTTTCTTTTGTTTGTTGTTTCTAAATCAAATTTATCTCGGGCCGGCAAATAAAAACTTCTGCAATTCTAGGTTGCAAAATTCAAAACTACTTTGTTAGTCGAATTAATACCAAGAACAACACATATTTCATGCTCAAAGAAACCTGAGGTAACCTTTAGCACACTACAGGAAAAATAAGCCAACATGTAGCATAATTTGTAATCATCTGATTTGACTTCTCAGACTGGTAAATGTGTTGCCAAAATCACAGGCAAACTCTGTGGTTCCCATTAATCTGTCTTTTAGCAGTGTAGTCTATTTGTGTAACGAAGTTTTTAAAGCGTGTCATTTTTTGGCATGATAACTGTTTGCCAGCGAAACATACTTTGCAGCGACATCACACTACTGGTCAACTTCCTTCCCAGGACATTTTTTTCCCCAGAAGAGAACTAAAGAATAATCATTTTTCTGCACACGTATCTCTAACAAGTTAGAAAGGATAAATATTTGTGAAAATTCTCGCTTCTATTTTAAACTGGAGTGTCTTAAATTTGGTAGGGGGAAGAAACCTCAAGGGTTACAACTTAACATGGAAGCTTTTAAAGACAATTGAGTATGCACAGCACTGAACAGAACTGAATATAGTGGGTTATGTTCTGGGAGGTGGGATTAGAAAGAAGGTGGAGGGGAGGTTTTAATGTCAATTACTTCAGTATTTCTTTTTTTTTTTTTAAATAAGTATGTAGTATTTTTTAAATTAAACAACAAAGAATCAATGAATCTTAAAAAATAAGGCAGCTTAGTTCACAGAAACTAGGTCTGTTTTCCAAGGCTTGGGTGGTAGCAGCATCAGGTAGAGAAACACATGGGTAAGAGCATCCAGGTAGAGGAGAATGCAGAATCCAGATCAGGTCCCAGGAGAGCAAGGGAAGCAGCCAGAACCTCCTAGAACACCCAGGTGACTCTGGGTTGCCAGATGTCTTAGTCACCCAGCGCTGCTGTAACAGAAAGACCACAAGTGAACGGTTTTAACAAACAGAAGTTTATTCTCACAGTCTAGGAGGCTAGAAGTCCAAATTCAGGGCATCAGCTCCAGGGAAAGGCTTTCTCTGTTGGCTCTGGAGGAAAGTCCTTGTCATCAATCTTCCCCTGGACTAGGAGCTTCTCAGTGCAGGAACCCTGAGTCCAAAGGATGTGCTCTGTTCCCAGCACTGCTTTCTTGGTGGTATGAGGTCCCCCGTCTCTCTGCTCTCTTCTCTCTTTTATATCTCAAAAGAGATTGGCTCAAGGCACAACCTAATCTTGTAGATTGAGTCCTGTCTCATTAACATAACTGCCTCCTATCCCACCTCATTAACATCATAGAGGCAGGATTTACAACACACAAGAAAACCACATCAGATGACAAAATGGTAGACAACCACACAATACTGGGAATCATGGCCTAGCAAAATTGATACACACATTTTTGGGGAACAGAATTCATTCCATGACACCGGGTATCTGACAGCACTGGACTTCTGGGGGAAGACTATTATTCTTGCTCCTCAACAGCCTCAAAGCCTCTTGCAGGTCATTTAGCCATAGGTCACATCCTGGAAGACTTCAAGCACCCTCTCTGGAGAGGAGCTCACAACAGGACCTGTGCTGAGTCCTCTGCTGGCTACTGAGCTACACTTGTCCTTCAAGGAACAGCTCTTTTGGGAAACTATTCACAAGCACCTATCATTGCTTTAGAGGGGCAGGCTTCAGGAAATTCCCAGTTAGCCTCTAACCCCATCTCTGTGAGCCCAGATAATTCAGTGTCTCTCTGATGGCACAATCTCCCCAGGTATCATCCTGAAAGGATGCATTACAAAATGCTCCCTCCACTTCTCCCAATAAATCCCATCTTTAAGACTCTAAGGTACTTGGCAAAAAATATAAATTCCTCTTTAAGTGAATCTCATAAAACACAGAAGGTAGTTTTGCCCAGTAAATCAGCCCAGGGCAGAGTATTTTATTTAAGATAAAACATACACATGCACATACGTGAATGAATATATATGTATACTACTGGAAAAACCAAATCAGGTTTTTATATACCTGGAGGAATATAATGATATAACTTTTCTCAATATTTTCTTTTCATCTTTTAAAATCACAAATCAACTAACCAAATAAATAAACAGAAAAGAACTACTTGCAAAAACCAACCACATGGTTCTATTCTAGAAACTTAAAGGTTATTTACCTGAAAGTCATCATAAGGGAAAAGCAGCATCTCCCTTAAACAATCGTTCAAGATCTGCGTCTTCTTCTGAACAATGACATTTTCATAGTCAAGTGGCTCAATTAGCTTTGGCTTTGCCTGGAAGGCAAAAACATAATTGAAATATTGTTATAGATAAATGTAATTTCTTAAGATTAAAAAACTTCATAACACTATGTTTTTGTATTTTCCAACTTTTCTAAAATGAGAGTGTTAGTTTTGCTATCCAAAAGAAACAGAAACAAAAAATAAAAGTTGTTTTCAAAACAACAAAGAGAAGCTTTATGGTATGCTGTCTATAGATAGCCATGTTGATTCAGAAGCACTGGCTCTGGCTTTCCTTCTTGGGGCACCTGGGCCCAGGCTACTCTCATTCCAAGTCTTAGGGTCTGCCAGAGCTGCTTTATTTACGGGTCCAGCCATGGCCTGGCAGTGAAGGCTGAATTTCTAGAATGGTTCCAGCCACACCACCACCCCCTCTTGGGCCCAGGCCCTTAACACATCCACCAAAACCAGTAAACCAGTTGCCATCAAGTTCATTCCAATTCATGGCAACCCCAATATGGCCAAGAACTCACTATTTCATACAAGGTTCTATGGGACCCTTCCTGTGAGTCTCAAAAGATCCCTAAGTATCCAGATATATCTAAACACTCAAATGTTGTAATACCTAAACACAGGAAAATGTGAGTATAAAATCTTTCAGAAAAACGTGAGCTGGAGCCAAACCAGGCAACCAAAAAAAAGGACTACTTAAACTAGGGCCTGAGACTGAACCTCAGGGGTGGGAATGTCTATTCCTAGCACACACTGAGTAGAAGAAAAAGTAGGAAAAGAAAGGAAAGCATGTCTTTTCTAGCTGTTCCCAAAGTTAGTCTTCTCAGTAAACATCTTTCATCTATCATCAGTCACTGCCACAGCGTTTACTGATCACTTTCCAAGTGCAGGAACCGACTGAGATTTGTTGTAGTTAACTGTCGTCAAGTCACCTCTGACTCAAGGCAACCTTACGCACAACAGAAGGAAACAGTCCTGATCCTGCATCAGTCTTACAACTGCCAGCACGTCCGAGTCCACTGTTGCAGCTACCGTGCCAATCCATGTCTACTCCACCAGATATAATGTCCTTCTCTAGCAACTGATCCCTCCTGATGACATGTCCAAAGCAAGTGAGTTGAGCAGTGTTCTGTTATGATCCATAAGGTTTTCATTTGCTAGATTTCTTCCTAGTCTGTCTTAGTCTGGAAGCTCCACTGAAACCTGTCCACCGTAGGTGTCCCTGCTGGTATACTTGAAATACTAGTGCCACAGCTTCCAACATCACAGGAACATGCAAGCCACCACAGTACAACAAACTGACAGACAGGTGGTTACATGGACTAGGATAGGGTGGGGATGAAAATACATATTCAACTAACTACAGTAGAGTATGGTAAGTGCTGAAAAGGCGTACACACACACACACACCCCCCCCAAACCAAACCCGCTGCCATATATAAATGTTGTATTTCATTGAAAGTAATTAATTCTGTTATATCAATAGTCACTGCAAGTTTTTTTAAGTATAATCATCTGATATAATCTCAAAAAATGTTAAATATATATTAAATGACAATTTATATACAGTATAGGAAATACTTTAAAAATTTATGATATTTACCATCTAAATCGAGAATTACAACTGAGGCTGTTAAGTGTTCCCCAATGTCAAACGTATCTCTTTTCCTTCCTAATACAGCTAGACTACACTTCCCAGCATCCCTGTGGTTAGGTGTGGCCATGTGACCGCCTTCCGGCCAATGGCATGCTTGAGTGCAAGGGATGTAGCCACTGCCAAGCCTGGCCCGTAAAACCTTCCATGTGACCTCCATTCTCTTCCTACTCCACCCTTCCAGCCACATGCACAGAGTCTAGCTGTGGACTCAGGCCTGAGAAGCTGGACCCCGCAGACAGAAGGAATCTGGGTCCCTGAATCACTGTGCCAAAGGCCACCTGCTTAAAACAGAAACCGAAATATCCCTTTAACAAGAACCAAACCAGCTACTGTGTGAAGCTGCTGAGATGCTGCAGCTGTCGGATGGAGCAGTCAGCTTGTTCTTTCTGATATATGTAGAAATGTTCATCTTTAACTTCAGTTACCTGATTTAAGGAAACTCTATAAAAATTTCATGGCACATTAAGAAAAAAAAGCAGTGCACAATTATTATAATCAGGTAAAATACATGTTTATGGACAGAGACTAAATATTATGCAAAAAGAAATATTAAGTCTGTAATAGCGAAAGTATAGAAAATTTCTTCCTAAAAACTTTTGTGATATTAAATTGTTGTTACACTCAGAAAGGGCAAAAAAAAAAAAAGAGCAGTTTATACCAAGTATTTTTGAAGAACTGTCACAGAAAATAAAAATATTTTGCAAAATACTTTAATTCAATAAAAAAAAAATGATTCATTCCTTTATTGTTACACTGCACGTAGTAATCAGTCAATATATGTTGGCAAAACGAATGGCTATTCTGATCAACAACATTCTCCTTAGGAACCACGACCATATACCTAATAACCCCAAATATGCACATAGCTTCCTTAAATGACAGAGTATAGGATACTGGAAGTTAAAATTCCATTACAAAGGTCCCTGGAGAGTGCAAACACTTTGTGCTTGGCTGGTAACCAAGAGGCTGGCAGTTTGAACCCACCTAGTGGCACCGCGGAAGACACAGGCCTGGCAATCTACTTCCATAAAGATTAAGGAGCCCTGGTGGCACAGTGGTAAGAGCTCAGTTGCTCAAATCCACCAGCCACTCCTTGAAAACCCTATGGGGCAGTTCTACTCTGTCCGATAGGGTGGCTATGAGTCGGAACCTATAAGGATTACAGCCTGAAAAACCCCATGGAGTAGTTCTACTCTGTCACACACGTGGTCTCCTAAATCACAAGTCAACAACAAAAACAACAATAAAACAAAATTCCATTCCAAAGAGGTCAGGTGGACACACAGTCCAGAATGGGGCAGACACTGTGTTCTCCTCTGACCTACCTGGTGAATTCCGAACGACCGAGAGCCTGGAAGCCCAGAGTCAAAGCTGTGTGCTTCCCATCCCCTGCCTGTCACACCAGGACCAGCAGCACACTCCCTCCACTGCCTCACCAGTATGGTCGAGGTTCGTTCAGACCACCTGGGCAGGGGACAGTGACATCTGCCCAGTGTTACTCCTGGTTCAAAGTTTCTACCCACGAAATGATATGATGCCTGGGATTTTCATTTAAAAAAAAATTCCAGCAAAAACAGAGAAAGTATGAAAGAAGAATGCCAGAAAGTGAATGTCTGAAACCGAGGAACTATACATAGGTATTGATTGTACTATTTCTCAACTTCTGTGTTTGAAATTTTCCAAAAAAAAAATATTTTTAAAGAAATACACCTTTAAATCAAGTTGCCACCCAGAGTTTGCGTGTCTCGTCACCACAGGGATTTACTTAAATAAACACCTCTATCCCACGGCTAAAGGTTGTTTGCACCTTTCCCACTGCAAAAGCCCTCTCCCTGACACTGTCCTCCCAGCCAAGTTGCTCTTTATTTGTCAATGTGTCCTCCATCATGGTCACCCTTCTGCTCAAAAGGATCCAATGGCACTTCATTCATTAACTGGAGCCTTGGTGGTGAAGAGGTTAAGAGCTCAGCTGTTAACCAAGAGGCCAGTAGTTTGAACCCACCAGTCACTCCTTGAGAACCCTATGGGGCAGTTCTACTGTGTCCTATACGGTTGCTGGGAGTCTGAATCAACTCAACGGCAATGGGTTTGGGTTTCATTCACTAACTACACGGAATATTCTAAAAGTCTTAAAACGTTGCATTCAAAACCATTTGGTATTTGGTCCAATTTCATTTCTCACTGTTCTCCCAAACAAACCCTTGTCCACAGGCAAGCCAGGCTGTCGACTCTCTCCTGGATATGTCTTCCCTTCCCCCACCTGCTTCCTGCTAACTCAAGCCATTCCCGCCAAAAAAAAAAAAACACTTTCATCCTCACTAATCTGAACATTATTCATTATCACAACCCACCCCAACACACACACACACTCCCAAGCTCCATAAAAACTAAACCCATTACTGTCGAGTCCATAGGGTTTCCAAGCAGCGGCTGGTGGATTCGAACTGCTGACCTTCTCGTTAGCAGCCAAGCTCTTAACCATTGTGCCACCAGGGCTCCTAAGCCCCACAGAAAGCATTACCTTTGATCATCACGTATAACTTACTTACTGTGTTTACTGTTTGTCACTTCTCTCCACTATAATGTAAGTCCTGTGGTTCTTTTGTTCACTGACGTATCCCAAGGTTTAAAACAGTGTCTGACAGTAGGTATTGAATAAATATTTGTTGAATGAAGGAACAAATGCAAGGAATAGACCTTTGCGTATATTATGCTGCCATTTGTAAGGTCAGACAAAGGAAAGGAATGGAAGGCCAGGAGTTAAACACACACGTGGCCTCTAGAGCAGGGAACTATGTAGTTTAGGGATAGAGCAGAAAGAAACTTCCTTTATTTTATATTTGAACTTTATGCTATCTGCATGTCTTAGCGATTTACAAATGAAACACTTTTTTTTTGTTTGATTTAAATCCTGTGTATCATTCCAGTTCCAATTCAGTTGCCAAGTTCTTCACAGCACCTTCCTTCATGACCCAGTTTGACACGATCCCTTCATCCCCTGAGCTCCTAGATGCCGTTTCATCCAATCAGAGCACAGCATCATCTGGGTTACGCATCCTGCGTTATACATTTAGCATCTCCCTCTGTGCCTTACACATTTCTTAAGAGGGGTGAATCTGTTTTACTTATTCTAGAGTTTCTCTCCCATCACCTTAATTCTAAAGTTACTATCAACCCTAGAGTTCACAGACATCCCATGGAATCAGCAAAAGGGGGAACTATGGGCGTGGCTTGGCTAGAGTGCCTCAGAACTAGCAACACGTCTTAGTTGTAACGTAAAGCATACCGACACTCTACAATAAACCCCGTCATAAGTAAGACCCACCTTAAAGCCTTTCAATCTCAGAAGAGAAATACAACGTCTTATTATGGAGATTAGTTCAAT